GAATAAACCTAGGCAGCTGTGATTTTTCAGCAAGCTGTGGCTAATCAAAGCAGGAAGAATAAGTTGGATCAACACAACATTGGTGACCCAACCAACAAAGCATCCCAAGGTTGACCAAAAGGATGTCTGGTAGTTCATCACGAAAGAGAGCTGCCACACATACACACACACATCACATTTTAATTACCAACACTTCTAATTGTCATGAGCTATAACACAAGTTTTGTCTTTAGGATACCAAAAGATTAGATTTAAATTATAATTGGGCCAAAGACAAAAGGATTAACTTTGGAAAATTGATTAGGTATTTGGACTGAGTTCAGAAATAAACTAGGAAGCTGAACAGCTGTGGGGAAATGGACTCCCAAAAAACCCCAGGGATCTGAACCACTGCTATATTTATAACCACCGTATAACATGGGTGGATGTTTTTTTTTATTCCAATCTGCATATTTCAGATTCAGTTCAGGTGAATTCCTAGAAAAAGGATATGAGATTTGAACATAAATCAGTGCTGGTTTTCAGTGTAGCCTCCTGGCAACCGAAGTGAGCTTCTATTGGAAATTTACATTTTCAAGAAAGACTTATTAGTATGAGCATATTGCAAGCTATGGATTGGCATCTTGAGATTTGAATTGCCAAGAGTTGGACTCAGTTAAATGAATCACATCATCATCATCAACTACCACAAAGCCTCTGCAATTATCATTTAGTAGCACAGGTTTCACAAAGAAATGCCATCTCTAACCCCTCAAATTTTAGGGGAAAAAAGGAAAAACGCATCCCTCTTGCTTTTGGCAAGTTTTTCACTACTCTTTGATTTGAATGATAGTGACTTTGATTGTTTTAATTTTACCAGAATACTTTGGTTTAGTTATCATCCATTCACCTCGAGGGCTTATATAATCAGAAATAGCATTGATTGCACACATGTAATAATAGTACAGTATATGCATACCATTTAGAAGTAATTAGTTTGCCTGAAATGGGACAAGTTTGGGGGATGATCACAGAGAGTTTTCAGAGGGAGTATTTTGAACTCTGAATGAACCTAACAGGCTCATCAGGCAAGGGGAGAAATCGTAGGTGTCTTCTTAACAAGCACTTTCTCAACAACTTGGAATATTGGAGTGCCGTTTCTGGATAGTCTCAATTTCCCCGTTAACTCTTGCATGTACACACTGAAGGCTTGCAAGGAGCAAAGTTTTTGCCATGTTTTATAGCTAAAATGAGAAGCCCTGCTGAACAGAGCTGGACTTCTATCTGATATTGTAAAAAGAAACATCTGGAGAATGCAGCGGGAGAAAAATTATTCTGCATTTGGAGAACAAAGAAGGGAACTTGGCAGAAATTCCAGGACTAATCTATTAGGAGAGGGGCAAGCGGTGGGTAAGAGCATGGGTGTCCTGCCTTTCATACCGTGTTTCCCTGAAAATAAGACCCTGTCTTATATATATTTGAACCCTGAAATAAGCGCTTGGCCTTATTGCCATGTGCTCAAAAGCCCAATTGGGCTTATTATCAGGGGATGTCTTATTTTGGGGAAAACAGCGTAGTACATTCATCTCTTTTCCAAGTTCTGCAGCTTCCCTGTCTCCCAAAGTTCAGGTAAATCCCAGGAGAAGACATTGCCAGCAGAGGATTAATTTTATTTAACAGGCAAAAGACCTGAATAAGTCTTCCGGATAAGTGTCTGGGTTAAATTTTCAGGGGACAAATGTCTCTTCGTTGTTATGCCAGAAACTGATGAGCACTCTGTGCTCAATTAATGTATTTATATAACATTCAGTAGCCATTCAGACTGATGATCTGGGGGAAAATACACACAGCCAAAAAACATCTGGAGGAGACAATGACATGAAGAAAAGAAAGCTCTTAAGGAAATATAGGGAGAATATTTTGGAGTCCTTCAGGTATAATTGCAAAAACATTAATAGGAAATGCTTTATGATCAAGCAGTATAGGCATATAGGTATAGTTTTTTTCTGAAAATCTCTTCTCTAAATCCCTACTAAGTGGCCATATCATTCCTCCTTAATACAAATCAAACCATTTCACAAAATAGCTAGTTCAGGTTAAAGTCCTGCTTAGCACAAGAACTGCTGCCACATTAGTCATGGCTAGCCATCCTCTGTATAAATGCAGGCATGATTTCTTCTTTACCATATACCGTATTTTTCACTCCATAAGACACACTATTTTCCCCCCAAAAGTGGGTGGAAATGTCTGTGCATCTTATGGACCGAATATTGCATCACAGACTGTGAAGTGTATTACCTCAGGGGTCCCCAATGGTGGACTGGTGCTGGTCCTTTGGTGAATAGCAGCCAGGCTGCAGCAGCGGGGTCCTTTTACAATGCTGAAACCAGCCTCTTCTGTCTCTTTTCCGCAGTGCAGGAGTCAATAGGCAGAGCTGGCACATGAGAGGACACCTATCTGTGGTCCTCTCAGGCTCCCCTTGATATTTTTTTGTCTTGTTTGCCTCCTCTAAACCTAGGTGCGTCTTATGGTCAGGTGCATCTTATAATGCAAAAGCCACAATAGGCAATTTAGTCTATCCAACAATTGATACCTTTAAGCAATTTCTTCTAATGTTGAGCTGAAATCTCCATTGTTCTTATCAGGGGGCGGGGTTGATGACCTCCCTTAACTTCTTCTCTTAGCTTATCATCAGGGGTGAAATCCAGCAGGTTCTGACAGGTTCTAGAGAACAGGTAGCAGAAAGTTTGAGTAGTTTGGAGAACCGGCAAATACCATCTCTGGCTGGCCCCAGAGTGGGATGGGAATGGAGATTTTGCAATATCCTTCCCCTAGAGTGGGGTGGGAATGGAGATTTTGCAGTATCCTTCCCCTGCCACACCCACCAAGCCACACCACACCCACCAAGCCATACCCACAGAACCGGTAGTAAAAAAATTTGGATTTCACCACTGCTTATCATACCCAGCTCTACCCATAGCAAGAGAAGTATTTCAATTTGTCAAGGTTATTCTTAACATGATGTGACACATTTTGGATCCAGTAATATGAAATGCCATTTGGTTCAATTTTATACCTAAAATGTGGGAGATCAATACCCTTTTGCAATAGTCCATTGGGGAAATTGTCATTGAGTTTTCATGTGGTTTTTTTTTTTTCTGTTGTAAAATGATTATTATTGTAAAGCTAATCTAGGAGCCTTTAACAATTCTCCTTCTAGAATTATCTCCGTGCTTCCACATGGTCTTTTGTAGTTAACGTCCCCCCAAAAAATGTATTTCCCTTGGACATGGCATAAGAAGGGTTCAGGTTAGTTCTCCTTTCTTGAACAGCATAGCTGAACTTTTCTCAAGTGAAAATCCAGGGGTTATTTCATCTGTATCTTTCCATTGGCCTCCTATCTTCTATGAGAACCAAGAAGAAATAGTTGAACGATTGCATATAGTGTAATGTGCTTCTTTGAGGGCTCTTCAAATACTCATGACTCTATTTACCTTGTTCCACGTATTTTGCAAAACTGTTATTCTTTCCCCTTAAGCTGTATCGCAAGTAGACTTAGAGATTTAGAAAAGAAAGATACGATGGATGTGCCTATACAAGGTCACCAACTGAATTTGCTAGTTAGTGAATTTGCTGATCATCTGAAAGTGCTATTTATTTTAAGATGGAAATTCCATAGATAATTGGAAGCAAGATCTCTTAAAATCAAAAGGACTGAAGACTCATTTAAAATGCCACTTAAAAATAGCAACTAGCTATTGGCTTCAATAAGATTCTTGTTGGATTTATAAATCAAAGTGTGCATCACATGCATTCAAAATGTTAAAAGTGGATCCAGTGATGATATTATATGCTGAGGTTTGAAGGTGTAGCAATCTGTTTTTTGGAGATCACATGATTGCCGTAAACCTCCTGGCCACATCCAGAGTTGGGAATTGCAAACTAGGAGCTCATTTCTTTGACACAGTCAGGCTCAGGATATTTTTGTGTATATCTTAATGGAATTTTACCAGAGAAATTTGCTCTCCCAGCAAATTAGGGAAATCTTATAAGTAATCTATTAAAAAACACCAGTTTAATGTAAATGGCAATCTGGAGCCACCCATGTGTAGAAGTGTGGAAATCTCAAAAAGCTTAAGAGACCATTGGATGGAAAATTTCACTCTTCCCAGGATGATGTCCATATGGAAACTTTTCCTTAGAAGTTGAACTATTAAAGAACATTTCCCTAACCAGTTTTGAAATTCTGTTTGCCTGTTTTTTTGCAGCCCAAGGAACTCTGAATACTAATCATCTACGGAATTTCTTGAGATATTTCAGACAGCAATGCCTCAGAATCTCATAAAAACAAGACGAAAATAATAGTTTTCAACAGTTTTTAAACTATTGAAAAGTCTCTACTCCCCTTTCTTTTGCAAGTAGGAAAGCATGACAATATTTCTTCACTGCCCACATGGAAAACCAGAAATGAGTAAATACTCTAAAAAGACTTTTTTTCACTAAAGTTTTGACCCAGGCATTCCCTAATAATTGCTCTGCAAGTTCCGATAGTTGAGCCCACTTGCTTCTAGGAGCAGAGCAGGGCTGAAATCCAGCAGGTTCTAACAGGTTCTGGAGAACCGGTAGCAGAAATTTTGAGTGGTTCGGAGAACCGGCAAATACCATCACTGGCTGGTCCCAGAGTGGGGTGGGAATGGAGATTTTGCAGTATCCTTCCCCTGCCATGCCCACCAAGCCACGCCCACCAAGCCATGCCCACAGAACCGGTAGTTTAAAATTTTGAATTTCACCACTGGAGCAGAGTAGCTTTCTTTCTTCCCTGGACCATCCTTCTCAGCCCCTTCTCCTCATCTTTGGCCCTGGCAAAAGCTAGAAGAGGTTTTTCAGCAACTTATTCTTTCTTTAGCCAGAGTTGGAGGATCAGAAGAGGCCATAGATTCTTCCCAATCTTTGTAGAGCATCTGCAAGGAATCCCATCAATTCTGGCTTTCTTGCTGCAAGAAAGACTCTACAAAGTACCATTTAGTCTAAATGTACATTATATTTATTTTGTAGCATTTAAGTCTGCACTATTTACAACTGATTTTAGGCTGCAGCTCACATTTGGAATTTAAGACAGTAGAGCCAACACCTTTGGAAACCATATATTTGCATATATGGCATATAAGTTGAGTTATTACAAAGAAAAGGAAATGGCAAGAAAAGAAATGGCTATCTTCACCAAGGAGGTACTATAGGCCAGTTCTGCAAATGATGAATTCCCCTGCAAAACCTTCCTTTTCTTAGGTACCAGGATGAAGACTGTTTTGGGTCAGGAACATAAGCCATAAAGTTCCACAGTAAGTACTGAAAATTGAGCAGTTTCATATTTGACCATCAAGACTCTTTTGCGAGAGGTTTGGTGCCATTAAAGGTTCTATTCCTCATCTCTTTCACAGACTCCTTCTTCTTCCTCTGGAAATGCCAAGTCCTTCTGGGTTTTTAGATGCTTAATTCCTGTAAATACAAAGACCAGAGTTAAGATTTAATTTTTGCACTCAAGATGTGCAATCTACCCAGCAGGCTAACAACAATAGTAGCAGCAAAATGGCCAAGGGATTGTAACATATGAAAATGGTGATGTTACCTTTGTACTCCATTACAAAGATAGCATTGAGTCTGATGTCAGAAGGGCATGGATGCTTTTTGTAACCTCTCATATTCTCTCTCTCTCTCTCTCTCTCTCTCTCTCCCTCCCTCCCTCCCTCCCCCCTCTTCTTCTCTCCCTTCCCTCTTCCGACGAAAAAACGCTTTTAAAAGTAAAAAAAAAAAGCCTCTGATGATCGCACAGCTCTGTTGGGATCGTCAGAGGCTTTTCAAAGCATTTTTTTCTGCAACCTCTTGACCGAAGAAGTGGTAAAAAAAAATGCTTTGAAAAGTCTCTGACGATCCCAGCTGAATTGCCTGATCGGCAGAGGCTTTTCAAAGCATTAGAAAAAAATGCTTTGAAAAGTTTTTTTTTAAAAAAAGTTGGCCATGCCCACCCAGTCACATTACCCCCACCACCACCAAGCCCCAGAGTGGGGTGGGAATGGAGATTTTGCAGTATCCTTCCCCTGCCGTGCCCACCAAGCCACGCCCACAGAACCGGTAGTAACAAATTTTACATTTCACCCCTGGGTAGAACCATCTGTGCAGAACTCTGAATGTCCATTAAGGGATGCAGAAAAGTCTAACCTAGTGGTGAAATCCATTTTTTTTTACTATTGGTTCTGTGGGCGTGGCTTGGTGGGCACGGCAGGGGAAGGATACTCCAAAATCTCCATTCCCACCCCACTCTGGGGCCAGCCAGAGGTGGTATTTGCCAGTTCTCTGAACGACTCAAAATTTCTGCTACCGGTTCTCCAGAAGCTGTCAGAACCTGCTGGATTTCACCCCTGGTCTAACCTTTTGGTGCCATCTCATGGCTACCTGAATTTCTACCATTTAGATATAGTAGTCCTGTGTAAGGTGAATTTAATATTTGAAAATGACTGCTAAATCACCAAGTAATTAAAAATGCTATCAGCCCTCTCCTTATTTGTTTCCACCATGCCCTGTACTTCTCTGCTGCAGCTTATTGTGACCCAGAGAATGTTGAGATCTAATGATGTAGCAGGTCTCTGCTCATGCTCTGCTATCCCTTTTGTCCTCTGCTCAGTTTGTAGTCCTCATTGACTCTTGAGCGCAGACTCTGAGCGCAGAATTTTGCTTTTGTTTAGGGATACTTTTCACTTCTTGCCATCTGTCTTCTGGCAAGGCCCCCAATAATACTCTGATTTCCCTGGATCCATCTTTCTTTTCTACTCTGTCACAATTCATTTGCACCCTTAGGTTCATTCCTTCAAAATTATTCTGCCTAGCTTTCTCCCAAAGTCAGAAATACAAGAAAGAATAAATCCATATTTGAGACTTAGTTTGCTTCATATCTAATATTTGCTATGACTCCCTCCTCCCTTTTCCTTGAGGACTTTGATTTCACTGTAGATCATTTAATTAATCCAGTAGTAGATGTTAATGAAGGAGAGCTAGAATGCCTGCCATTGTGCATAAGGAGACATAAATAACACTTTGTACTGCTGATGCATGTTAGATTAAGTCACTCCCCCCCCCCAAAGCTTCTTTCCATATTCAGGATAAATTATCTGTGCAAATGAGGCAACTTCCTGCATTTTTGCAGCCAGATTACAATGTCTCCAACAGGGAGCCTGAAAACTTGACATATGGTTTAGTTCATTCAACCAAAGTAGAAGAAATTGACATTGAATAAGCCTTAATTTTTTTAAAATACTTCAACTTTGCTATAGATTCCTCAGGCTTAAAATAATGTATATGTTACCCAAATCAGGAAAGGAAAATGAGGTTTATACATTCAGGTAATATAAACTCAAGGCCACTCAGAGCAGGGGTGGTATTTACTTACCCTCACTACCGGTTCGCAAATGTGAGCGCATGCACCACCTACCCGCAGGCGCAGAGTATTTTGCGCATGCGCAGAGGGTAAAAAATGACATTAGGGCAGGTGGGCAGAGCCTCCTGCAGCCGCCACCGTTCACGCGATCCGGATAGAGCCAGCTGAATTGTACCCACTGACTCAGAGTCATGGCAAATAACTTTGATAAAAATAAAACAAAATAAACTTCACTACCTGTGGATAGATTGATTTCATGGTTACCGATAAGTGCCAAATTTCAACAGACCCATGGAATGATCCCACTTAACAGATCCATACCATTCCTTTCAGCGGAGGATGGAGTTCTCTATTTGCATTATATTTCAGGGTGGATCAATTCCCTCCATCAAAATGTATGGGTCAAATAATATCCAGAAGGCATCCAAAGTGAGCATAGAAATTATGACTCCTCTCTCTGTCGATGTACCACAATAATAATTTTTGTCATCAGGGCAAAATAAACTTAATTTCTTTCTTAGATTTAGCGTAGGTTTTTTTTTTTTTTTAACGAAGTGGTCTTCAGCACACAAATGCTGAAGTTTCCTTTTCTTGTTTCGAAAACAGATCTGCAAGAGGATTTATGATATCCAATTCCATGAGGATTGCTGAAGGAACACTCTCTTTTTTCTCCTACACTTTCTTTGCTCAGTGCAATAAATTTTTTTTATTAAAAAAAATCAGCAACACAACATACAACCTAGTTTCCTACCTAGCTCGGCCTTACGACCAGCAAACAGTAATCAGTCATCTCAAAGGTGCTTTTTCAAAATGCAATTGGATTGTTGCCTTTTGAAAAAGCATCTTTGAGACAACTGTGACCTGGATGACTGAGAATCTTCACAAACATTTTTAGGGTGCTCTTTCTCCCCCCCCCCATCTATTTTCAGCTACTCAGTTGAAATGAAGGGAGTAAACCAGGGGTGAAATGCTCCAGGTTCGGACCGGATCACCCGATCCAGTAGTGATGGTGGTGGGTGGTTTGGAGAACCAGTAGCAAAAATCCCTGCACCCCCCTCCCCACCATGCCCAGCTGAGCTGCGCGATTATTAGAGGCTGTTTGTTTTACTTTTAAAAGCATTTTTTCTACAACCTCTTCAACTGAAAAAATGCTTTTAAAAGTAAAAAAAAAAGCTTCTGATGATCGCGCGGCTCAGCTGGGATCATCAGAGGCTTTTAAAAGCATTTTTTCTATAACCTCTTCGGCCGAAGAGGCTGTAGAAAAAAAAATGCCTTTAAAAGCCTCTGGCGATCCCAGCTGAGTTGCCTGATCGTCAGAAGCTTCTAAAAGCATTTTTTTCTGCAACCTCTTCGGCTGAAGAGGCTGTAGAAAAAATGCTTTTAAAAGTAAAAATAAAAAAGTTGGCCACGCCCACCCAGTCACATTACCCCCACCACCAAGCCACGCCCACAAAATAGGTAGTAACAAATTTTAGATTTCACCCCTGGAGTAAACAATATGGGAGACTAAGGGAATATCTGTGTCAAGGTTCCAAGTAACACCCCCAACTAAAGAAGACTCTGAGGCTAGCAATTCCTCAAAGATCCATTTTATTAGAGAGGTCATATTGGCACATCTGGGAAAACCTGAATCTGAAAGTTCCCCAGTTTTCCCCACCCAAAAGAAAGTCAAAGACCCATCCCCTGCACCCACATGTCCATCACAAGATCCAATCAGTCCACTGTCAGAATTGGAGACAGCCCCCAGTCACTCCTATCCAGGTGCAGGCTGAACCTCCTTGACTCTCAGAGAAAAGAATTGTGGCTATATATCTTCACCAACTCCTTGCAAATCCCCCCTCCCGTTTTCCCAGGCACTAAATGTGGCAGCCCTGAAGCTCCAAAGAAAAGATGGCCTCCAGGGCTGACAATCTGCACTTAGCCATTTCAGCTGCTCCTGACCTATATGCCCTGGCGGTTTAAGTTTAAACCAAATTAAGAAAATCTAGTCTGGACTAACACCCATAATCAACGTCTTTTATGTATTCAGTCTAGCTAGCAGACAACCACATCCTCCTATTAAATGGTTCCCCTGCTTCTCTGCTGTGGCTTCACCCACCATTTTGCCTGTGGAGATTCTGAGTCATCCAGACCCAGTCACACCCACCCAGTCAGAACTAATCCTTCAATCACCCCCACCATCCTGCCAGAACCGATGAAGCTTCTTGGATGAGAAGCAAAATATCTTCTGCTTCTTCCTCAAGGAAAAAAAACACACAGTCCAGTTGCCTTTTGAAAAAAAAACACCTTTGAGACACCCATCATTCTATTCCTGGAAAGCAATGTCCTTAGCAAAGGCCAGTCTATTTACAGTCATTCAGTCTAACCATGCAAAGATTGGATTAATTTTCCTTTTCTATGTAAAGAGCTTCCCTAACTGTCGTTCACAGTGAAAATATATCTACATTTCTACAAACAATGGAAAAACATGACTTGGTCTTTGACCCTTTTTAATAAAATCTCCTTTGATAAACTACTTCAGGGATTAATCTGACTATATTCAATGTTGCCCTGAAATAGTTTAGGCAGTTTGGGGTCACAAGAGACTTTGAATGGATTCTTTAGCTGGTTCCCGCCCCCCTCTTTTCTGGATTTATTGCGTAAAATTATCCTCTTTGCCTCTGAGTGGGACACCTATGCTCTTCAACAGGGTGCTGAGTAGAGGGATCTTTCAGATGGAGACCCCTCAGAAGGCCCTGTGGTCTCAAGCTAATTGGTGGGAATAGTCCTCTTGCAGTAAATTTAGGAAAGATAAAGTCTCCTTCAAGTTGAGTTTGACTCCTCGCTGCTTAAAACAGGAGTCCCCAACCCCTGGTCCATGGACCGGCACCAGGCCACATGGCATGCCAGAAACTGGGCCGCGCAAACAAGCGAAGCCCTATCCACAGGATGCAGGCAGCACAAAACCACGCCCCCTCTTGTCCACGGAAAAACCTCTCCCCATGAAACCAGTCCCTGGTGCCCAAAAGGTTGGGGGCCACAGGCTTAAAGGACAAGTCTTAATGCAGAAGTAGTTTGCCACTCCCTT